AAGCCTGGCAGCAGAGACTCCCATATTACAGGGGGTGGAAAAAACACCTGTTCTGGCTCTGAGAGACATCAGCGACAGTCCCTGAAAGAGATGTTGTTGCTTTAAAATGCCCTGTAGGATCACCCTGATGCAAGGATATAGAATCAAAATGTGAACATGCTGTATTAATATAGGGTAACAGATTGCCAAGAAGAACACTTAAAAACCTAGATATTTTTGACTGCCTGTGCGACTAGGCTTGTGAACGTTTCTATGCAGTAGGTAGGTTGAACCAAAGAATCTCTAAAATGGGTGGGGCACGCTTGTACAAAACTTAAGTACTTATGACTAATTGCACTGAGGAGATTTAAGGGGGACTGCTATGCTATTATATATTTAGACCGTATTTCCACCATTCCGTGTGAAAAATGTTTCAGTGGAATCAGAACTGATTAATAAAATGCCCAAAATTGTGAATGTTGAAGAGAAGTATTCGCTAGTTGACCTTCAGAAGTCTTTATTATTAAAAGCACACAGAGATTTGCTTTGCAAGATACACAAATCAATATTACCTTCTGCTAGCAGGGCTAGCTGTTTAACTTTGAAAATTGGCCCAAGAATCCTCTTTTACGTATTCTCACAGAGCAATGCTCTGTACTTAATCTGAGATTACTAATAACACATATCAAGTATGTGCAAAGGATGGCTCGGGGACTGTTGCAGAAATTAGGTATCTCTGAAGCCCTTAAGACTCACATTGAAGTCTGCAGCAGCTCTGTAACTCTGGACTTTTTTTTTTTTTTTTTTACTTTAATGAAAATGCTTTCTTTGTAGTTTTATGAACTTAGGAATTTATGCTTTTAAACCTGTCCAATTATAGTTTAGAGGCAGAATGTGTTGTAGTTGCAAAACTAAATAGATGAAGTCATGAAGTTGAAATTTTAGAGAAGTAGAGCTTTTGTAGTCTGATTCTGTTTCTTGCAAGAAAAAGTGCTTATTCTGGGTCTTAGGCTATGTTTAAAAATGCATTGCAATATGTACCCTTTGCAAAAAAAAGTTTTTTTGGCAGAAGGAGATTACAAGTGTGCTCCTTCTTTTTTGATTTTCCTTTGGGAAACAAAATTGTAAGAGAAACCTGTGTAAACCTTTCCATTGGAGCTATTTACTGTGAAATGTTTGCAGCTCAAAATTTAAGTTTGGATCACATTAGTCTCTATTTTGTCCTTTTTTAAGCATTTGTAATGATTTATTCTGTGCTCCAATTTGCAACTGCTTTCAGGTGGCAAAGGAAAAACTTACTACAGCATCTGAAAAAGCAATGTTCTTATCAGTCTAACCAGTGGTGCAGTGGGAGGGGCGGAGGATTCCTTCATTTTCCATTATCATACCAAAACTAATAACCGCTGAAGAGTTCACTGTTACTCAAGTAGTATGAGATTTTATGTTTGGTCTCCACCAATGGTTACAGTCCTGATATGTGTGCCATGACATGTTATTTTACGTTAACTTTTAAGCTGATGCCAAAGTCCTGCCAGGGAGTTGCAGTGTGGAACTTTTGTACAAGGTAAAATGGGAGCTCTGGTAAATTACCTTTTTTCTTCTATGGTTAGTTGGCCCTTTCAGTGCTTATATTGGCAGTGTGTGGTTGTAAAAGCTTCTAGTTAAAAGATTTTGTCTTTTTGCCTGAAAAAGCGAAGTTCATTTTAAGGTTAATTGAAGCCTATAAATAGATTGCTAAGGAAGAGATTTCACCTAATTTTACATAAAACTACATTCCAATTTGTGTTGCATCTTTGTGCTGTGTACAAAGTCTCTGTTATATTAATTAAGCTATACTACAGTCTTTTAAGATATATGTTTAATACAAAGAACTTAATATAATGAAGGCTATTAAAATGGTAAAGTCTACTACATGTCTAATGTTACTGAAGGCTCAGAAACATTTTATTTTTAGAGAGTCTAGCTTTATGTGATTGTACTTACTTGAAAAAGATGTTAATCATCTGTTTTAAACTGCCACCTTTTGTCAGTCAGTATAATAGTTAATACAGTTCATACCAATTTTTGTAACGTCTCACTATCACTCATAACACTGAAGGTTATATCACTGTTTTGAAGAAAGGGCTGGGATTTTTTTTTGCTTAAATAGTAAAATACTTTTGGTGAAACAGAACACCGTGCTCTGAAGAAGTATTGTGTGCAAAGGTGGATATAAATAGTTGTTCCCTTTATTTTTCAAATTGAAAAAAAAAAAAAAAGCAGCTACTAAGTACATAGGATTTTTCCAGTAGTAAAGTTACTATTTCATTTTAGACATGTAACGTTCTCCAACTCTTTTATTTTCTGTCTGAGAGTTTTCTGAAGCCTTTTAATAATTTAAGTGGTACTTTCATACCATTTTGTTTTCCAGAAAGTTGCAATTTTGGTCTTTAAGTACTGGAAGCTATGCCTGCCCCCTCCTTGCCACACTCCTGATACACCTTTTATTAAGCCAATCTATGCCAAATTTGTGGGAGGGGAGCCTAGGAGACCTGTTTTGTGGAATTTGAAATGCTGAGAAGCCTGTAGACACTGGATGTGCGATTGTCCCTCAGAGCTTACATCCAAGTTTGTTGTACAGAACAGAGAATAGAATGTGGGAGAAGTTATTCTGAGTGTGTGTGCATGTGATTGCAGTTTCCAAGGAGACCACCTTCTTTGTCTGAACACGTCCAAAATGATTGCCTAATTGATCTCATCATGTGGGACACTCTGTCTTTCTGTCTGCTTCTCTTGCGCCTTCTTTCCTCCACATTGTTAATCCAAAAGTAAAAAATGAAAAGTTGAATTTGAGAAAAGAGAAAAACAATGCTGTTAGCCTGCTGAACAACTAGTTTGGGCCGTCCCTTACTCAAAACCATTTGCTGGTGTGTCACCAGTGTGGATGCAAAACACGTTGCTGCAAGTTTTTCTTCCCAGTCTGTGCTATAGCTCGTGCATTGATGATGCTAAGCACTTCTTTGAAAGAGACAGCTGTTAATGCTACTACTGAATTTCCACTAATTATAAAATGAAAGGACCATTTCTCTTTTCCTTCTCAAAGCTCAATAGTCTAGTTTCACTGATTAAAACAACAACAACAACAAAAAATCCCCCAAAACACAAAAAGCTCAGGGAAGGAGAAGACGTCAGTTAGCGACAGCACTGAAAGGCATGCTGATGTGCTTTTTTTGTTGCTTGTGATTTTGTCGGTACTGATGATTTGCTAATGAAAGCCAAAGCTCTTTCAAATATAGTCCCTCAACACTGGAACTGGAAATGAAGAGCTCAAGTTTAAAAACATTCTTGCTAAAGGGAGGAGAAGATTGCAGAAGGCAGTAAGAGAGAGGTGCTGAGGCAAAGCAGGAGGTGTCTGGGTACCAGCATTCAGTTCATTCTGGAGGATGAGGGGCTTTGGTTGATTCTCCCTTTCTAGCTAAGGTTCATTTTCACCTAAGGAGAAATTCAACCTGAATTCTGGAAACAAAATATTATTGACATAGAAACCAGAATTACATCACAAGTCAGCATGCAAAAAAGCTGTAATATTATTGAATAAATTTAGCAACTACTGAAACACTATTAAATTGCCTGTTTTTATTTAAAGAACTCCTTTTTCCTGCAAAGACAGTCCTAAAAACAATGAACATCAGTTGCATAGCATGGTTTTGTTTGTTTGTTTATAAAAAGAAGTGTCTGTAATCACTGTAAAATGGGGAGAGGGCACACTCTGTGTCAGTTTATCTACAATGTGTCACACTGGGGTAAATACCAGCTGGTACATGAAAAAGGTCCAGGCAAATGTAAGCAAACAGAAGTAAGCATGGACAGCTTGAGGAGCACAGTCTGAGAAAATAAGTGGAGTTTGCAGCAGCCACAACTCTCCATTTTCTTGGTGGCATTTGCAGGATAGAATATGATTAATCCATCTCATCAAGAAATGTTCTTATTGGTTGTTAGGAGCCCATCCCTCTCTGCCCTTACTGTAAACTACAAAGAAGATAGAATCATAGGCCTTTGGTCTGGCAAACTCTTACTTCTGAGTCACTTTACTCATATGAGCCATCCTGTTGAGCTGATAGGAACCATTAAACATGTATGAGCACCATCAGAGTCTTTGCAATGATACATGACCTTAACATATGAGGATTTCAAAGTAGTAATTGGCAGGTTGTACAAGTCTTTTTGACAGAAGAATATTTTCTCTATGTTTCATGAAGATGAAAATTCAGGCAAAAAAACAGCTTGAGGCCAACTTGGAAGGCAAGTTGGAGGTTCCTGTTTGAACCTCCCAGGGTTCTGTGTGAACGTGGTACTGTGGAACATAGTTCATGTTGTAAAAGGTTAGCTGTCAGGCAGTGCTGTATGAAGTTTTCCAGAGAGACGTGTTACTCTGGGAATGTAGCAACCTGAAGCACAATGACAATAAGGAAAGGGTTTGTTCTGCGCCTGAGAGTGAGACAACAAGGTAGCTCTCACGTTCAGCGTGTGCACCTGCACCTACCTGACCTGAATGAACAGGCCTCCCAAAAGACACATGCCTGTCCTGCAAGTTTGGAGTACTGCACAAACATCGCTGCCTTTATTTGACAGTATGTTCATGTAATAAATATTTTAAATAAACCTTTCTGAGGTCCTTGATAAAATGCCTTTCTAAGCAAAAAGTTCAGATGTTTGCTTAAAAAGCCTTGAAGAACTTGAAGGAAATCTGGTTTCTCTATTTAATCTGTATGAGATTCAACTGTTTTTGAAACACGAAGATACTGTGTCAGTGTAGCATACAGAGCGTTCAGTCAGAAGTCATAGCACTGCCATGAACATCATTCTGGATGTGGCACAACTGCCCTGCCATGTGTGCACAAAACCTATGAGTTCTCCAAACATACCAACCCAACTTCTGCCCTTGCTTAGTAGCTGCCGGAATAGACAGTCCCAGCCTTTCCTCCTCTCTAGCACTCTTGTCTACTGATAATTATCCTCCCTTTCCTTTGCTCCTTCTGCAGTAAACTGCCTCGAGATGGACAAGGTGGAGAAGGTCACGCAAGGCCACGCTCTCAAAGGAGGATTCTGCCTTTGAATGGAAAATCTTTAGCTGATTTCCCTTTGTACTGTACTTTCCCTCTGTTTCTGTACTTTCCGTCTTTTACATTCTTCAGTACATATCCTGTTGCCAAACTTAGACCCAGTCTGGCAAAGCCTTTCTCATGTGAAGATGAGAACTGAAGTTAATGAGAATAAAAAGGCAGGTAAGAGCTTTCAGCTGAAGGCAAACCTATTTTTTATTGCTGTTTATAAAATTAAATATATTCTATAGGAGATTGATGAACATAATTTTAGCAACCTATTTAAACCAAAGAAAAGATTACAAGAGTTCCTGCACATTTTTTTTCAACTTACAGCTAATACATGTATTTTATATTTGGTGCACGCTTAAACTTTTTGGAACATGATTTCCATTGTGATGATAATCTAAAAGGGTCAACACATTTTCTCAGCTTTGTTTTTTTCAGTATTAGAAAATATTTTGAATTAGATTAGGGCAGGAGAAAAACTTACCACAGTATCAGGCAATCACAGCATTGACTTTTTACATGGTCTGATGTCTTCCAGAAGTAAAGAAAGCTGTGCACAAGCATGTAACAAACACAGCACAGGAAGGCAAAAATGTGATCATCATTCTTTCTCATCAACTGGAAGGAAGAAGGAGTTGTCGAAGAATTTGAATTAGGTAACTCATGCATTTTTTGTTTTAACATTTGATTTCCCTTTTGTGAGCACGTAATTCTTTCTGTAAAGGATTTCATTGATTTTTTTCTAGCATTTTCCTTTTTTCCATAACAGCCAAGGTTATTCAGTGTAAACATGTGGTCCTAAGGGTATGTGGAGCTGAGGAAATATAGCAAGTAAGTTCGTCATGAGTAGTATTTTGTCAGCTTTTTCTCTCTCACCTACTAGAACATAGATATTTTCGTACTTTTGAGTATCAAAGGACTGCATTTTCTGACTCAGACAAAATCAGGTATGTCCATTCAGACCTTTTCAGCCCCTCTTAAAGCTGCTTTGCACTGTCCTGAGAGTGTAAGTGCTAAAGAGCAGGATCTTTTGATCAACCACACTATTCAAAGGCAAGAATCAGTACATTGTCAGATTTATCTCGTTCTCTATTCTTTGTATGTAAACTTTTCCAATCTGAGAATGGATGTCCACAGTTATAACTTCTGCAAAATCAGAGCTGTGCGAACTTCTCGTAACAATAGAAGAGTTTAGTTAGCCTGGCAGAGTTGGTAGAGCTGGTGATGTCTTTTCCGATATGCATTTGGAGTGGGTATTAGCACTGTATTATATTCTGCTCATCTAATAGAAATCCACTATCCCTGACATTGTTGATGATAAATTAATCATTTACATCACCTATTGTGAGACTGCCTTTGAAAATAAATGTTAGAACAATATTATCTGTAGTTGTTTGGAAAGCTAAAAGAAATATTTAATTCTCAAAATTATTCCTTCTGCACTTCCCTTGCATTTTTCTAATTTAAACATTTCTAAAGAAACATGGGAAACAAAAGCATTCATAATGTTATGTGTAGCTGTTTGTGTTTCTTGCATGACAACACAGTTTGTGTGAAAATAAATTGTATGGGCATGGAGATGGTATGAGTTAATTTAGAAATAGTAGGTTTATTAGTATATATTAATAGTAGGTGCTAGACAACTTGGAGTTGTCTAGCACCACTACAACTGAGTCTTTTGTCCGCTGCTGCCAAGAGATTTTTTCCAGGTTGTTTTCTAAGGGACAGATGTCCTTTACTTTGTACCCTGGCTCCCAGTTGTATGTCCTTGCTAGAAGCTGGCTGCGTGTTGTGACCCTGCTTTCCTTGATGAAAACCCTGGGCATATAAGCGGTGAGGGAGCTGCAGAGCACATCAGCAGCATTCTTCTGCCTTGAATGCTGCTATCCCTCAGTGTGGACAGAGTGTGTGAGACTGACCAACTCAATTTAGAAAATTTGCTTATATTTTTCACTCTCAGCACTTCTGTTTTTTGGCAGCTAAGGCTCTAGGCAGATGACTGTTTTGCTGAATGTCATCAGGCCTTCATTTTTCCCAAGTTAAGAATTTCATTGTCAAGAGAAGTAAGGGCAATATCCATTATTTCCTGAGCCATAGTAAAGGCAACATCTACTTTCCTCAGTAGGTTTAGAATGATGGTTTACTCTTGTGTGTGTGTATGTAATGTCCTCACATACAGACATATATACATTTGGACAGTGTCTGTAAAGTGTTACTGGTCATAGACCTTTGACTAAGTAGCTGGCTTATCAAGACGTGGTCTCTGGAAGAGCTTCCGTAATGTCCTTTAGTAACTTAAAGCTATTCTTAACAAGACATGTATGCATACCCATACATATATCTCTGCTAGGGAAATAGTTCATTCTTTCCCCCTTGTATATGTGGAATTTCTCCCCCATATTACTTTGGCCTAATGCCCAGGAGTCCACAACAGTCAATGGCTCAGTGGCACATTTAAGATCTGCATGAAACAAGTCTTGGAAAGGACTTTGGAAAGGAGAAAGTCACAGTTTTGGGGACATGTGGCACTTGTTACTAGTTCTCTCAAGAGAAACAGAACTTTAAGATTATGAGTTCTGCCTATAAAAATATATGCTAGGTTATAGTTAGTGGTTTTTAAATATATTATTTCTATTTTTTATTTTGCCTCTGAAGGTTTTAGTGGCAGACATACTACATTGTAGGAAAGCAGAGAGAGAAAAAACGACTGTCTTGATATTTTCATTGCATATGCAGAATATATGATGATATGATGTGTGGTGTTAATGTTTTATTGGCACTCATTCCTGATGATCTGTATTGCTCTTGGCTTTACAGTTTAGGTAAAAAGGTCTTGCGATTAGCAGGATAATAGAGATAAAGCTGCTATTCCACAGCATTTGCATTCTTTGTAACTTCTGCAGTATATTTACAGTGTGCAGGTAGAACTCTTTGTATACATCACACCTCTTCCAACCTTATGCACAAAGAGCAATGAAAAAGACTTATTTATAAACTGGATTATAAATATGCACAACATTTTTCATGAAGGCAGCTTTTTTACCTGCTTAATTAGAAGTAACGGGTTAAAAATTAATAATTGAAATATAGATGACAATCCAACGGAGATGATGATTGTTTTCCTAAATGCCTTAACTAAGAAATCAGTTGTATGTGGAGCTTTATACTAACAAGGCAGGAATGAAGACTTGTAAGTGTCTGTGTCTTGCAGCAGCTTTTCTTCCTTCACACACAGCGGAAGACTTTGGCCTGTGGAATTCCTTTTAGTAATGCACTACAAAGTGTCTCAATCTTGGACAGTAAAATACTCCAAAGTTGCAATAAGATGGCACAAGAGCTGCATGAAGGTGATGTATATGAAGGGAACTGCCTTACAGAAGTAATGCATTTTATTATATTTAGTGAAATCTGCCTGCAGTGAAAAAATCCTATGTTAAATCCTGTATTAAACTAGCAAGGCCATGAAACTGTCTTTTTATTAAAGATAACATGAAACAGAATGTTCTCCTCCATCCTCAGATGTCTGCATTTTAAAATGAGGAGGAAAAAACAGGAAGTGTAAGTGGGGTGAAGGGACACTCATGTAGTAAAATTTAAGAAGTGGCTGCTCAAGTCAAGTATCAAAATATAAACATCATGGTATAAACTGTAGTGCACATATACTGTGCCAGATGAACCTTGATATCTTTTGTATATGAATTACTTTGTAAGAGGCAATTTCAGATGAATAAATATGAACGGTTTCTCTTTTCTCATGAGTGCATCTTCTTTCTTTTTCCAAGACCCGAATACTTATATTACGTAAATTTGCTTGTGTGTACTTTCTTACTATTGGCCTGAACAGAAATTCCATGTAAGTACTGAATTATCCACCATGAATTATCCACCGTGCATTAATTGAATGTTTTTCACATTTGATGATGTCTCTTACAAACCATTTTAAATGTTGTGTTTCATTTTTTCTCCAAGTCAAAACAAATTTCACTTAGTTCCAGCAACAGACTTCTAAATACCTTAATGCGTGTTACTTAAATATAATGAAGGTACTTGTTGTGGAAACTTGTGAAAAATGGAACAGAAGTTGCAGATCAGTAGCATTTGCTGATGAACACAACTGACCTAGCCAGTCTTACATTTATCCTGTGCTGCTTCCCTCAGTCTTGCGCTTCCCTTTGTCTTTTGCTTTTAAGCCAGAGTTCAGTCTTTCTTGTACATGTAGGTGTCACTTAAGCAGATATTCACCTTTATGGTGATTTCCAGCTTCAAGAAAAATAATGCAGATCTTTGAAGTCTGCTTTATGACTAATGAAGAAGATATATTTTTTGTATGAAAGTAATAAATGCAAAGAAAGGCCATTGTTATATTTAATAAAGCATTCCGTGTGCATCCCTCCCCTTTGTCCTTGGAGGATTTCACAAAACTTGTGAATAATTTGTGCCGGTATACAACCAGTTTCTGTAGTTGTGCTGATGCATGCACGTTGATTTATGTCTTTCAAAGCCATGTATCTGTATTCTTTAAATCTGGGATGTATGCTCATTTAACAGTAACAGCTATACCCTTGACAGCAAGGACTCAGTTCCTCATTTTCTTCCACTGGTGTGTTTAGTCCCATGGGATCAGTCCTCACCTATGTTCCAGGTTTCTGAGATTTGATGGCATACGTGTGCTAAAGCCAAAAACCCTAGAGCTAAGTATCCATAGTATTCAAAACCTGGAGCTGGAGCAGGATTTTCCGAATAAATCAAGACCCAGAAGCTCAGCCCTTTAGAAAACATGGCCCCTCTGTTTCATGTATGTGTGAGAGCTGGGTGCTTCTGCACAGCTGGTCTTGATTGAGAGAGATGATCGCCTTCAAAAAATGTGACCCTAAAGGGCTTGGCAGTATCTGTTCCACTCACAGAGTAGACCTCCAAATTCTTGAGTTGTCTGTTCTTGTGTTGGGATACAGCCCCTCCTACCCGAGGGAGCATGGCCTGACAAAAAGAGCATTCAGATAATAAAAATAAAGTGCGTTCCATGATCTGAAAAAAGGGTAGATAAAAATATTTCTGGCCTAAATTGATGCTGCTTTTTGCTGGAAGAAATTATGGTGTAGAAGCACATTAGACATTTACCTTGTTTGCCTTCCTTTTCCTCATCTGTTTTAGACCAAAGAATGAAGTTCACAAGTAGCATGATATGTGCATATGGGATATAAGGCTATTATAATGCCTTCAGATTGAGCCTGTAGTTCACAAAGAGAATATAACAAAATATTACTTGCCGTGTGACACACTTTTTGTAGTAGTATTGTCTGAGATAAAGTTGGCCATGCTGCTTTCTCTCAGATCAATAAAACGAGCATTCAAAGACAAAGGATACTGCAGTGCATTAATGACATTAGAGTATTGTGGCAGTTTATTTTAAATACTATTACTTGTACAGTGAACAGAATTTATATTTCTTTTTGTAGGCTTTTACTATTAAATGACTGTTATCCAGCTATCAGATATTCAATCTAGATATGTGAGAGAGACTACATCTGGAAAACTCCTACCAGTATGCATAGACCTGAAATCCATATGCAGTGATTTCAGATGTATAAACAAAGAGTCTGGTCCAAAGCCCATTTTGATGTTCCTGAAGCACAACTTTGAATATCCATGAGTTTTT